CTCAGAAGCATAGACAACTTGATCCCTTTCAACCCAAGCAACCTAAATTTTTTAGAAATAATATGAAATAATATGATAAGAATCAAATCAGTTAAATCAAAAAATCTATAATAAAAATCACATCAAATAGATATTATAAATATATTTTTACCTCGTCACTTTGCCTAATCTTATTTAAAACCTCTTTTGTGAATTTACCGGCATAGCCTTTCAACACCTTAAGATCATAAATATGTGTGATACCGTGGATCAATTTATCAAGTATACCTCTCTTGGCAAGCTTTGTATTTTCCTCCTCAACAAAGGAGCGAATGCAATTATGATGGTATTCTACCCTCTCTTTTGGTAGTTGGTCCTTGAACACAACAATGTATTGGTCAGGAATAACTTCAGCATTCCTTGAGGACAACAAAGGAGCAAGATTACTTTCCACCTGAATATTTTCCCATTGAATATAACTAAAAGGAGCACCCAATGCTAGGGAGAAAAATAAAGTAGCAAGAAGAAAAAACTTTGACATCGTTAACATCGTTAAAAATTCGTAAATAACAAAAGAGGACTTGTTTGAGTAAAAAGAGAATAAAGATTATATATATAAGAACTATATACAAATATATTAAGAACGAATTTTGGAGGAACAGAACCACTTAGGGAAATTTTTGTGAATTTGGCGCAACAAAACAAATAAATATAAAAACCAAATGGTCAGACGGTAAAAGTCCAATGATTGCAATCCGTGAAACTCCTATTCAAGAGATAAGAGATTATGTATTTATCTGCCACACAGAGACATTCTTAGCGCCGACAACCGATCACAATCCATCTTTGTCTGAATATAATCCATAAGAATCAACTTGATCATAATATTATGTTCCAGTTTTTAATAATATAGAATTGTAAATGATTTTCCGTATGTAACAAACAAGGTTTTTTTAAATATTATACTTACAGTAACTTACAGTAACGGATAAGATATATGTAGGATGAGTATAGCTTTTTTTGATAATTACACAGTTGTTTATTTATCCGTTAAAATCAAATCTATAATAATGATGTAATAGTGTAATAGATGTTTTATTAAGGTCAATATTAAGGTCAATTAATAAGGATTTATCGGATTTATAAAAAAGGGATTATCGAATCCGATCTAATCAACATAATGAATGCTCCCCTGAGCTTGCGTATCCATATTCGGGACCCTTTGAATTTCTAGATCTGTATCAAACTTTAATCCAATTATAATCATTCTAACGAATTTTGATCTAGTTAAAAACGATCTTTACTGCAATGATGACATGTCATGTGTTTCGTTGCATAAATATGACAATAAACTCTGTAACATACTTCATTTGGTACACTGGTTTTGAACCGGTATAAGTTGTAATTGTAAAATAAGAACTTCTTAATTTGGCATTTTATTCGGTCAAATTGCTGCCAAAACCCGGACAAATCCCAATCATATTATTTCATATTATTTCTAAAAAATTTAGGTTGCTTGGGTTGAAAGGGATCAAGTTGTCTATGCTTCTGAG